CTCGCAGAAGATCTAGATCTAGGACTCCACCAGTAATGAGGAGGCGATCTCGAAGCAGAACCTCTCCTATCACTCGCAGAAGATCCAGATCTAGAACATCACCAGTCACCCGCAGGAGATCTCGATCTCGCACCAGTCCAATAACTCGAAGGAGGTCCCGCTCTCGAACCTCTCCAGTGACACGCCGCAGATCTAGGTCTCGAACACCTCCAGCTATTCGGCGTCGCTCTAGGTCTCGAACCCCACTTTTGCCACGCAAACGCTCTCGAAGTCGTTCATCGCTTGTCCGCCGCCGTTCTAGATCTCGTACTCCACGAATGACTCGGGGCAAACGGTCCTTAACAAGATCTCCTCCAGCCATCCGTAGACGATCCGTATCTGGAAGTAGTTCCGATCGTTCACGTTCTGCTACTCCTCCTGCAACAAGGAATCATTCTGGTTCTCGGACACCTCCAGTGGCACTCAATAGCTCCAGAATGAGTTGCTTCAGTTGTCCTAGCATGTCACCAACTCCTCTTGACCGCTGTAGATCTCCTGGAATGCTTGAACCCCTTGGCAGCTCTAGAACACCCATGTCTGTCCTGCAGCAAGCTGGTGGCTCCATGATGGATGGTCCAGGTCCCCGAATTCCTGATCACCCTAGAACATCTGTGCCAGAAAATCATGCTCAGTCTAGAATTGCACTTGCCCTGACAGCCATCAGTCTTGGCACTGCTCGGCCGCCTCCATCCATGTCTGCTGCAGGCCTTGCTGCAAGAATGTCCCAGGTTCCTGCTCCAGTGCCTCTCATGAGTCTCAGAACAGCCCCAGCTGCCAGCCTTGCCAGTAGGATTCCTGCAGCCTCTGCAGCAGCCATGAACCTGGCCAGTGCCAGGACACCTGCCATACCAACAGCAGTGAACCTGGCTGACTCGAGAACACCAGCTGCAGCAGCAGCCATGAACTTGACCAGCCCCAGAACAGCAGTCACACCATCTGCTGTGAACCTCGCTGACCCGCGCACCCCTACAGCTCCAGCTGTGAACCTACCAGGAGCCAGAACCCCAGCGGCACTGGCAGCATTGAGTCTCTCAGGCTCTGGCACACCCCCAAACGCTGCAAACTATCCATCCAGCTCCAGAACACCCCAGGCACCAACCCCTGCAAACCTGGTGGGTCCTAGATCTACACATGCCACAGCTCCTGTGAATATTGCCAGCTCAAGAACCCCGCCATCCTTGGCCCCTGCAAGCCTCACCAGTGCTAGAATGGCTCCAGCTTTGTCTGGTGCAAACCTCACCAGCCCCAGGGTGCCCCTCTCTGCCTATGAGCGCATTAGTGGCAGAACCTCACCACCGCTCCTTGACCGAGCCAGGTCTAGAACCCCACCGGGAGGCCCAGGCTCCAGAACCCCACCAGCTGCCCCAAGCCAGTCTAGAATGACCTCTGAGCGGGTTCCCTCTCCGGTTTCTAGAATGGTTCAGGCTCCTCCCTCACAGTCTGTTCTCCCTCCAGCTCAGGATCGGCCTAGGTCCCCTGTGCCATCTGCTCTTTCTGACCAATCCCGATCTTTGCTTGCCCCAACGACCACTATAGCAGGATCTCAGTCCCTCTCTTCTGGGTCGGTGGCAAAGACCACATCCTCTGCTGGTGACCACAATGGCATGCTCTCTGTCCCTGCCCCTGGGGGGTCCCACCCTGAGGGGGGGGAACCACCTGCCTCTACGGGGGCCCTGCAGCCAGCAAAGGAGCGGCGGAGTTCCTCCTCCTCCTCCTCATCTAGTTCCTCCTCGTCATCGTCGTCATCATCCTCCTCCTCCTCCTCCTCTGGCTCCAGTTCTAGTGACTCGGAGGGCTCTAGCCTTCCCCTTCAACCCGAGGTGGCACTGAAGAGGTAAGGGGACTTGGCTTTTAGAACTTTTCCAAGGGGAAGGTTTTGTAAAGGATGGGTCGGGATGGGGAAGGGAACGCCCTATCCAGAGGGTTCTTGGCTTGTTTAGGTGGTATGGGGACCTGACCATTAAGCTGGGAATAGAGAGAATGTGGGGTGGGGGTGTTGGAGGGTGGAATGGGACAGAAAAATCTCCAAAGGTTAATTCTCTAGAGGATAATGATAAGTTTTCCATCTCTACAGAGGACAGAACTAGAGGAAATGGACTTAATTTTACAGCAGGAGGGATGGCAGTTAGACCTCAAGAGGAACTCCCTGGGCTGGAAGGATCTTCAGAGGTCATCCCATCCCTCTTCCTGCCTCCAGGCAGGACGGCTCCTCCCCCAGCCAGCGCACACACACACAGGAGCCTACCCAAGCTGGCTCTCCAAGGAAGGAGACCACCCAGCTTTGCACCCACACCTGAGCCCAGGGGCTGTATTCCTTCATCAGGGACATTCTTGAGGTTTAACCTTGATCCCTTGTGCTGCGGACCCCCAGCCTATTGCTTATGTTAGCAGAGGTTGGGTCAGCTTGGGGCCACTGCTCTCCAGAGAATATGCTCACTGGGTCACTGGCTCTCTGGCTTTGGCTGGGAGAGTTCCCAGGACCTTTCTCAAGCCCCCCTCCCCCACTGCCCTTCCTCCCGGTCTTGGAAGGTAGGGTTGGGGTTGGGGCAGCTTGTCTCTCCTTGTGACGTTATACTCTTCCTACAGGGTCCCTACTCCTCCCCCAGCCCCAAAAGAGACTGAACGAGAGGGACGACCTCAGGAACCAACCCCAGCCAAGAGGAAGAGGCGTGATAGCAGCTCCAGTTCCAGCTCTTCCTCCTCCTCTTCCTCATCTTCCTCCTCTTCCTCTTCCTCCTCCTCTTCCTCCTCCTCTTCTTCCTCCTCCTCCTCCTCCTCTTCCTCTTCTACATCCTCTCCTTCCCCTGCTAAGCCTGACCCTCAGGCCTTGCCCAAACCTGCAAGTCCCAAGAAGCCACCCCCTGGCGAGCGGAGGTGAGTGCTACCTTGCTTGAGATGGTAGGGGTGGGATGTGACCCTGGAAGTGTGAGATCCCTGCTGGGTGTCTCATATGGACTCTGGTGTCTGGTTGTATGGGAGGAGTCAGAATCTCTTCTCCCCACATAACTCTTGTGCCTTGTTCTGACAAGGGCTGCGCCATCCAAGTGGGTGCCCCAGCCAATATTGGGGAGTCCTAGGTTCCTTCTCTTGCCCCTGACATGCAGCCTGGTCCCTGGTCCCAGGGATTCTAGCTTTTAAGTCTCCCCATTGCTATTGCCAGGGCTCTGGTCTGGCCACCGTCATCTTCTCCTGACTCTGTCCACAGCCTCTTCCCTGTCTCCCTGCCTCCACGCCATTCTCTTCCACATGTAGCCAGAGGGATCTTTCTAAAACGCACATCTGGTTACTTCCCTCCACTCCACAAATCCTTCTGGGACGCCCTGTGGCCTGCAGGATAAAGCCCCATCTCTGCGGGAATGGCGTGTGAGGCTCTCCACCAACTGGCCTTGCCTGCCCTGTGTTCTCCTCTCCTGCCCGCCCCCACACATGCCCTCTGCTCCAGCCACTCCCAGCGCCTTGCAGTCTAAGGAGAACCCCATGCCTTTGGACATGCTGTTCCTTCTGCCTGGAATTCCCTTGTCCGCCTGGTGAACTCCTCGTTCTGCAAGACTCCGCTCAAACAGCACCTTCGAGAAGACTACCCTGCCCCTTCCCTTCATCTCCCTCCCCTGAGTCCCCAGATCTACCTATATCAGTCCCTGTGGGGCTGCTTCCCACACATGAGGCTGAGCGTGCCTCTTGGCCTTCCTTCATCACCAGACTGAGCCCCTCCAAGGGCAGGGACTGTCTTTACCTTTGTGTCCCCCACCGTCCCATCCCCATGCCCTGCCCACTGGGGCACTCGGTGGATGGTATGCGGGCGGATGGGTGAGTGAGCAGACAAAGGTGGGTCTGAGGCTGGCCCTGTGTGGTATGAGGTTTGGTGGTCAAGACCTGGGGGGCGGTCCTGAGTGCTGGCTGGTGGGTTTGGAAGAATGTGGCACTATGGGGACCTTCTCTGCTCTTTAGGTCCCGCAGCCCCCGGAAGCCAATAGACTCCCTCCGGGACTCGCGGTCCCTTAGCTATTCACCTGCCGAGCGCCAACACCCCTCGCCCCAGCCCTCACCACAGGACCAACAGAGGTAGGGCCACTAGTGTGTTCTTGCCAATAGCCAGCCCAATTTGGTCAACATCTACAAAAAAAAGTTTTCAGGCTTAAAGATGCAAGAGATTGGGGTGTGTATGTAATCTGATGTCGTGTGTTGCAGGAGCAGCAGCAGTGAGCATGGTTCCCGGAGAGGTCAGCGTGGGGACAGCCGCTCCCCAGGCCACAAGCGCAGGAGGGAGACACCTAGCCCCCGCCCAGTGCGGCACCGCTCCTCCAGGTGTGTTTCATTGTGCTCCAGGACTGAGCCTTTTTTTTTCTGAGAGCTCTGACTGCCTGAGACCTCTGCATTGATGGCATTCTTCTCTGTTGCAGGTCTCCATGAGTGTTTTTTGGGGGGAATCCCACCACACCCCAAGTTCTGGAGCCACAGGGAGTGCCCCCTTTCTCCCCAACAGCTGTGTGTGTGGGGGGGTGCTTGTCCCCTCCGAACCCTGGCAGCATTTTGAGGGGGTTCCCTTCTTTCTCTACCCCCCCCTTTTTTTTCTTGGTTCCTGTGAAATGTTAATCTGTGAGTTTTTCTGGTTCACATGTTTTGGGGGGTTGGGGGTGGGTGGGAGTAAGAATGGGAGTTGCTGGAGGAGGAAATAGAGTTCAGGATTCCTTCAGTCTTGATTCAAAAAGGGCCTGGGTGGCACTGTCCCCCCTTTACTCCTGAGTTCAGGGAAGAGGGGGAGGTGATGATTTGGGACTTGGGAACTTGTATGTTATGGAAAGGGGCAGGAGTTAAAATTAGTTGGCCCTTACTGCCCCCCAGTGAGATTGTGGCCCCTTCCCCCCAACTTTTCTTCACATTTCTTAAAGGCATTTTGGTTTTTTAAAATCTGTACAGCAAGAGCAACTTTTTCTGTCAAATAAAAATGAGAAATGCAGGAATTGGGTCTACAGACTGTTTATTAGAGGGTGGAGAAGGGCAGGGAGAAGAGCTGCCCCTTCTAGTGACTACAGGGTTCCACATAGACCGCTCTGAAGCCACACACTGGTTCTGGCTTACACTTTTGCTTCTGGTCTCTGAGCAGGAAAGAGGTACCTGCCTGGAAGCCAGTGTGCAGAAGTGGAGGGGGAAGCGGCAAAGGGGACTATTGAAGCCTCAAACCTTTTGCCCCTAGGCAGGAGCAGGCTGAAAAAAACTAGCCTGGGGCCCTGGGTTTCTCCCAGTTCTCTCCCCATGGCCTTTCAGGGACGGGCTGGGCTGGGGATGGATTGATGAGCACAGAGAACCTGTGGTCCAGCAGGCCAGCCTGGCAAGCAAGAGAGGCTGGAGAGGAGTCTCGCAAGGAGTGAGCCCACCCTGGTGAGGATGATGCCTTGAATCAGGAGAGGGTGCGCATAAAGAGGCAGCAACCAGGCAGACACCCAAATCTTTTATTGGGGGGGATGGGGCACTGGGGAGGAGTGGGCCCCAGGCCCAATCACTGCACGGCTTGTTCATTGGCACTGCTTCCTGAGTCCTGTGGCTTCATCACGTCGGGCAGCTCTGGAGGGCTAGAGAAGGGCTCAATGCGCAGAGCTTCAAATGCATCATCTGGAGAAGAAAATAGGGGGAGCTGGAGGAAATACCCACCTCTAACTTCTGGGACCTCCAAGCAAACCCTCCCCCACCCCCCACCCCTCACCCCTCAAAGTGAGTCTCCTCCACAACCCTGACCTACCTACATCCAACTGCCTAGATTCGGTGGCCATATTGGAATGTCTCCCACCTCTACAGGACTAACTGACCCTGTTCTCCCTGAGCCTGGCCATCCTGGGGCCCATTTCCTTACCTTCTCCCCCCATCTCCTTGTTTCCTTCACATCCCTTCTCTACCAAGCAGTGATTTAAAAAATCAAACCAGCCTTAGCTGGTTTGGCTCAGTGAAGAGAGCGTGAGCCCACGGACTGAAGGGCCCCAGGCTCAAGTTCGTTCAAGGGCATATACCTTGGTTGCAGGCTCAATCCCCAGCCCTGGTCAGGGTATGTGCGGGAGGCAACCAATCAATGTGTCTCCCCCTCTCTCTTCCATTGTCTCTAAAAATCAATGAAAAAATATCCTCTGGAGAGGATAAAAAAAAAAATCAAACCAGACTATTTCATTCCTCCTTAAAATCTTCCAATAGCTTGTAACATACTCTGAATAAAATGTCAAGTTCTTGCCATCATGTTTCTCCAATCACTCATACTGTGTTATTCCAAGTTCCCATATCAAACTCTTTCTGCCTCAGAGCCTTTGCACTTATTGGCCCAAGCCTGCCATTCCATGACATTCAAACCAAACCACCTCAGAGAAGCCTTCCCCAGCCATCCCACATGAACCACCACTCTGCATCCCAATGCCCTGTGCATTGCCTTGGAACACTAAACTGGCCAAAATGGCTCTCTGTTCTTTAGAAACAGTGGCTTCCCTGTCAGCATAGAGCAAATGAACCCCATTTCACTTTTTCTTTCTCCATTATTTATTGTTAATCCTCACTCTATTTTTCCATTGATTTTTGGGAGAGCGAGAGAGAGAGAGAGGGTAGCCGAACCGGTTTGGCTCAGTGGATAGAGTGTCAGCCTGCAGACTGAGGGGTCCTGGGTTCGATTCCGGTCAAGGGCATGTACCTTGGTTGCGGGCACATCCCCAGTAGGGGGCGTGCAGGAGGCAGCTGATCGATCTCTCTCATCGATGTTTCTA